CCCGACTCCTGGCAACGACTGACGCTGCCTCCCCTGAACTGCGCGCTTGGGGGGCCATAAGAACGTCAATGATCGCGCTGTACCCCTGCGCGTGGGCGATGACCGCTTGGAAGCCATCGAGTGCAGAGTGGCCAGGGGCCCTCGGCTTCATCGCCGTGGACTTGTTAAGAACATTTTGCATTTGCAAATGCCGCCGAGCCAAAAGCCACTCGCCTCCTTCACAAGACCGATGGATCATGGTAGCACTTGCGCGCTTCTTCTTCGCTCTCGCATGGTTGGCAAGTAAGCTATAGCCAGCCCCTCTGGCTTTCTTATCCCACGATTTGAATTGCGACTCGACAACATGAGTCTCGCACACCCCAGGGAAATCGAAATCCGCCGGCCCCCTTTCAGAACAGGGAAGAACACATAAACGCAAAGGGTTTTATTGGTTTTACGCCGGAAGGGGGCGTCGTTGAGAGGGTGCCTGGCACGGGTGCGGGGATCGGTACGGCGTCGGTCTTTGGGGCTGGCGGTGTGCGTGGCAAGTTCGCTTGGCCGGCCGCGTGTGTTCGGAACGCGTGACGGGTGGAAAGTCCGCCCACCAGCAATTGGCAGTCCTCTGCCCGCGGGCCAGAACAACTCGTCGCGCGCTCGCAACGGGGCGCGGGAAAGGGGGTCGGGAAGAGAGCGCGGGTCTCATTCCCAAGAAGTCCTTTCGATAGGCAGCAAACAATTCTTTTTCTATTCATCTGCCGCGCGGCCAACCGAACGAATGAACAACTGTCTCGGCGCGCAGTGTTAGCTTCACTTGCGCGCATCCTGGCTTCCTTTCGTTGCTTCCTTCGCTTCTTTCTCGCCCTCCTCTTCTTTTTCCTTTGCCCCTGCTGTGCCTTGCCCCGCCCCCCCTTCCTTGCCAGCTCGGAGCTGTCACCGCGCGCGAAGAGGGCAACCCGAAGGGCGTTGGTGTAATTACTTTGTGTGCCATGACGTCTCGTGCAATTCCTTTGCGTGCGGTCTGGTTACACTGTCAACGCGGGGGGCGCACAAAGGAATTTCTTTTGCGTGCGATCGTTTTCGCCGCCCCCACAAGAGCACGCGCGATTCCTTTGTGTGGAGCTTGCTTTCCCGCCTCGAGGGGCGCGCGGGGCCTGGCGCTACAATCGCAAGGCCGCGGCGCCTGGCAGCGCGATGCAGCTGCGCCGGATACCGCGCCCAAAGCGATCCTGCGTGGATTTCGGCTCTTCTGCCGAAATCGCGCTGGCAGCTGGCCAGCCACATCGCCGGCCCTGCATGCCCGCGCGCGCCACTGCTTTCTGCTGCCGCGACGAGTGCTGCTGTCAAAGGATGAACAAACTGACGTTGCACGGTGGTTTGGCTGTGCCAAACCACCATGGATGGCTGTGCCAAACCACCATGGAATGTTAGTTGGTAGCGGATCCTGGGATCTTGTCGCCGCCGACAGCCTTGCCACACCATGCATGCCAACTGCATCCTAGAGCGCGGCCGTGCATCAACCCTGGGTCGGATCGCTGGGGATCCACTCGCACGTGTGCACATGCGTTGCACCGTTGGTGGTGCCAAAAAACCCCTTCGTGTGAAAATCCTGGGTGTGTGCTGTTTCTGGTTCCTACCCTTGTGGGGCCACCCGGCTGTAGGCCGAAGCTTCGCAATTTCCTGTGCCAGTTGTAGCTTCCAGTTTCCACTGTTACTGTCTGCTTTTTGCTGCTCATTGTTCTTTGTTACAGTTCTGCTTCTTGCTGCTTACTGTTCCTTGTTGATGGACCGCGCGAGGGGGGGAGGCCCAAAACGGGCATTTTCACGACGCCCTGAGCGTGTGCTCTGAATTTCTGGGGTGGGTAAAACTTGACACCCCTCACGCAAATCGGCGGGGTCTGGGTCCAAAAACACAGGCATGTTTGAGATCCGGTAGCACCCGTCACGCAGATAGGCGGGGTCAGGGTCCAAAAAC